AGCCACACTGCAGTCAACATTCAGCGCAGCCTAACCGCAATCGTCCAGGAGTGGGCTCCTAACCTCAACAGTGTGCCTGTGTATGTGGTCACAGATAACGGCCGCAACATCCGAGCCGCAGTCCGCCAGATGGAGTGGACACCTCTTCAGTGCATGGGGCACACATTTCAGCTGGCAATTAAAGATGCCAAAGATGAAACTCCTGCTGTGTCTCTGCTCTGCAAAAAGGCACGAGCAATAGTGGGACACTACAAGCACAGTGGCCAGGCAACACAGCGGCTCAAGGACTGCCAGAGGCGCATGGAGCTGCCTAGCACAAGCCTCATTCAAGACGTCGACACTCGATGGAACAGTGAGCATGCAATGTTGAGTCGTCTGGTGCAGCTCAAAGATGCCGTGTCACTTGAAATGGCAACATCAGAAACGAGTGTCACCTGTCTCTCAGGAAGTGAGTGGAATGCTGCAGAAAGCCTGGTCCAGATCCTGAAGCCTATTGCAGATGCGACCATTGATCTGGGTGGCCAAAAGTATGGAACCCTTTCATCTGCCATACCATTTCTTTATGGGGCAGAGCAAATCTTGAAGAGGTACTCTGCCATCGAGAGCAAAGTCGTAGCTTTTGCGAAGAACTTGCTTAAGAGCCTGAAATCTCGGTTTCCTCTCCACATGGAACAGAAGGAACTGGTGCTGGCCACACTGTGTGACCCAAGATTTAAGGCCATTTTCTTCTCCACGTCGTACGACCATACACGGGCTGTTGAGCTGCTGGCGGCGGAGATTGCTGATCGAAGTCGTCGCATCGACTCTTCCCAGCAGTCCAGCAGGCAGGAACTTTACTGCCAGCCATCGACCAGCTCCAAGGACATCCCAGTGACAGTCTGGGAGACGGTTGAACTGTTGGCTTCACAAAAGAGCCAATGCAATAAATAACGCCAGACCCTACAGCCAGGAGGTTGAGAAGTACTTCAATGAACCACTGCTCCCCAGGAAAGATGACCCCTTAAACTACTGGAAAGAACACGGGGCTGCGCCGTATCTTGGCATTGCAAAAATTGCTTTGAGGTACCTCCCTATCCCAGCTACAGAGGTGCCCAGCGAGCGCATGTTCTCCACAGCGGGCAACACAGTGACATCGCGCAGAGAAAACCTGAAGCCTGCACACGTGGAGCAGCTTGTGTTCCTGCATGACAACTTGTAGTTCACAAGAAGCTGTGTCCCGCTAACTGCAGGCTACCTACCTAAGCAGTGTTTTTTTGTATTTAGAATAAAAGTTGATATTTGACCACTATTCGATTCAAATTCGATTTACAAGTTTGAATATTCGGTATTCGATTCGAAATTCGAATTTTTAGCCACTATTCGACACTATTCGATTCGAATTCGATTCGAACTGAAATTTCACTATTCGCACACCCCTACAAAATAGCGATACTTACTTTGCAGTTACCGCTTCACTGCAGTACACAAGAGCACAGTGAGAAGCGCACTTAACAAAGATAACTTCCATGCCAGTGTGTCTATGCTGGTGAAACCTATAAACTAAGTTCATCGTGACGTGGCCATGGGCGAGGAGCCATAACTTCACAAGCACACAACTTCATCGGGCGGCATCTTCACAGCGACGTCAAGGTTCGCGGCACTTGTTAGCTTGAAACTTCACAGATTTTTAGGAGCGAGGAAGTCTCGGGAGGGAAATCTGGACGCTTTGTCGACTGCGGTGCCAATTTTTTGGGAAAAAGGTAGAACAAATATACATATTAAATTCAGAGATATCCATATTCAAAATATATAAATGACACGCATTATTTTATTATATATAGTTGGAGTTTATTTGTAACTCTAGAACGGCATTCGAGGTTCGCACCGTTCCTGCTCCGTCATTTTTCTCTGACAATGGCGAACAACAGCGGCTGCGCCTCAACTCCGGCGGCGAAGAGGAAGAAACAAGGGGCTCGCTGCTGGGACTGACAGCTCGACTTGCTAATTGACTACATGTTTTCAAATCGAGTGTTGGTCCGGGCAGCAACAGAGTCCACGCAGACCACCGCGGAGAGGACGGCCCTCTGGGAGGTAATTACGGGCCGCCTCAATGCAAAAGGCCCAGCGTGGAAGGAGCGAGTCGAATGGAAGAATTTATGGAACGCTCGAGTGTGTTCCGCATGGAAACACGACGGCCTGCTCGCGGTAGAGGCGGCGCGGACGGGCGGTGGTCCCAACCTGGTGGGTCTCCTCAACGAGGTTGAGAGCCGGATTCTGGCCATCATCAGGAGGGACCCGTCGAAGGGCTGCGGTGGTCTGCGTCCCAGGCAGCCCCTTCCGCCGTCCTCCGAGGCCTCGGTGAGGAACCCCACTTTGTGTTGAGCGTAAAATCGTCGTAATAGCGCAATAAGCGGAGGAAGGCACATAGAAAATACAAGAACACTCTGCGGTGCTGTTAACACGGACGAGCGATCGCAAGTTTTCTTTCTGGTTTTCTCTTAGAATTAAAAGGCTCTCATGAAAACTAGTGCGATAGAAAGTGCTCATTTGGTGCACTAATAATCCAATGTCGTGTTCGCACTTACCGTGTCGCACACTGTACACAAATCTCGACAGCCTTGGAGCCTCTGAGCCCCAACCTTTTGTGTGATAGGACTCCAGTCTGCTGCAAACCACAATGTGCACCAATTCTTTGCTCAAATAGAAATATATGCGTTTTATATTGAAACATTTTTGCCTAGCCAGCAAGAAAGAACAAATGCTGTTTCATGTTGAGCAGGAACTACATGTTTTGTTGCAATGGAGTAGAGGGGCAGCAGTGATTACAGTGAATCTGCCTTGCACTGCCAGCAGAGCTGCTCTACCTAAAGGAGAGTCGGGGGGTGCTGGACCGCCGGCTGTTGATTGTAGCGAGTAGATACTTACTCCCGCGTTCACAGGAAACATACGAGTTCGGTAATTCTTGCATGCATCGAGGAAAGCTACCAATGGCTTTTACATCTCACTCCAATGAAATGGCACGCCACTTGAGTGACAGCTCCATTATCATGGCCATGCAGGTGGTCACTAGTAGTCCATGATCACAGCTTCGATACACTACTGCTCTCAAATGCAATAATCTATTTTTCTTTTTAAATTTTTCAAGTTGAGCAATTAATATTAGACTTGTTCGTGGAACGGCAGTTATTCAAATGCTCTAAAGATATGAAATTTATGAACAGCAATGAAAATGAATCTGCCAGCTGAATCGGGTTGACAGAAGTGATGCTGCCACACGTTAGAGCGGTTTGTGACGTGCATGAAGGTAATGTTTTGTTCATGCCCAATTTATACAGGGTTGACTGTTTGTTTCCACACTGATATTGTGCGTTGCTTATGGCCCGTTCACACTGGGAGCTGACCCGCAAAGCAGTTCAAAGTGTGAAGTTAAAGGGGTACTGAATCAAAACTTAAAATATACCTTTCACGTTCAGAAATAAGCTAACCACGATCAACTCTATCTGCTAATGACAATTGCACGCTTGTATTTTAAATGGATCACTGTATTTTTTGTTCTGAATGTTCGATTCTGGCAAGTGCTCCAAAATCAGCCACCAAAAACCGCGGTACGCCGCAAAACTCTGCGTGAATGGTTTGACGTACAGAGACCCATTTGCATAAACACGGCAGAGCAGGCATAAAATGCACATGGTGCAATTCTGATCATAATTTTCAGTTGGTACGCACATGTTGCAAACTTTAAAAAAAGTGTGGATGAAAGCTGCAATGCTCGACGGCCTTGTCCTTGCCGTTTACAGCTGCCCTGGATCAGCCCCAGGACACAGCCGCAGAGCTGCCCCCCAAGGCGAGGGAGGGACAGGCCTACTATAAGGGACATCCTCGACGTACAGAGAGCAGCCCTGGCTGCACAGCAGGAAACTGCTTGTAGCGAAGCAGGACAAGTAAAGCAGTTATGCAGCCCGTCAAATGCGTTGGCAGACCTGACTGGGGGAGCAGCGGACATCTTCGAATGTCTGCGGGCGGCCACACGAGGGGCCCCTGACTGCGAGTCGCCCCGATCTCCAAGATGATGGCCCCAGTGGGCGTTGACACTCTGCTGTGCTACGCCATCTCGGTGGAGCACTCTTAAGAGCAACGCTGAGGAGATCAGAGACGCCAAGGAGAGTCTGTGAGAGTGCCAAGATCCAGTAGAACAACAGTGAGAAGATCAGGTGAGGCGTCAATTGTCAGCTTTGTGATTGTCAGCTTTGTGAAACTTTGAACCCATAGGTTCTCCGTTGCATGCCTTGTCAAGGCGAGGACATGCCCAACGAGTGTCCAAGATCCTTAGATCCGAAAAATGGCGCTAAGTCCGCCTCCTCTCCGATTTTCCGCGAGTCACTGTACACAAATCTCGACAGCCTTGGAGCCTCTGAGCCCCAACCTTTTGTGTGATAGGACTCCAGTCTGCTGCAAACCACAATGTGCACCAATTCTTTGCTCAACTAGAAATATATGCGTTTTATATTGAAACCTTTTTGCCTAGCCAGCAAGAAAGAACAAATGCTGTTTCATGTTGAGCAGGAACTACATGAAAAAACAATTAGGGCGCAGGCGAGCTGGTGTAAGTTTACCATTTTTTTAGACCACCTGAGACTGGGTGGAAGAAACACGACGACGTCTCAAACACAGCTAACCACTTTATTCAGTTTTCCCTCCTTTTATACATCCTGATCCCAAAATCGTCACCATAAAAAACACTCCAAACAAAGGCACCAAGGGGACACGTCTTGACTTCGCAGCCACAACAACGAATCATTTTGAACTAACAAAAGCTACACACACATCAAAACGTCGGCTGAAGGTAACATTCTTTGACCTCGCAGCCACTCTTACAAAAGACAAAGAAAACGATCCACACGGAACCGACTGCAGTTCGAACCCAACAACATAATACATTTTTTTTTTTTTTTTTTTATTACATAAGTATACAAACGGAACAAGAACATGACAAAGGAGGCACCTCTGGCGAAAAAACACAAAACCTGTTCAATTCATACTCGCAGAAAAGCTTTCGCCCTATCACTAAGAAGCATAGACGCCTGGCTTATGCAATTGCCGATCGACCTAATTTTTACTGTCTCTTTTACAACCCTTTTAACGTCATTTATCTCTTTGCATACTACCGTTGTACCGGACCACTCGGCTGAGCAGTTTCTGCATTCTTGTACATGTGTCGCAATTTCGGAATTAGTCGATTTTATCTTTACGTTTCTCTTGTGCTCTGTCAGACGATCGTTCAAGCATCTTGAGGTCTGCCCTATATACTTAAAACCGCACGTCATCGGTATGTCGTAAACAACGCCAGCTTCACAAGGCACAGACTTTTCCCTGTGGCCCTTTTGGCACCCTTTTTTCTCTCTTTGGAACGGAGTGAGGTTGCCCAACTTAAAGTCCGAGCTGAAAACTACATTAACGCCAAATTTTTTTGCACACGCTTTTATATTGTGTGACACGGTGTGAAAATACGGCATCACTGCTATCCTGTTTCTCGATTTTTCCTCCGCCTTTTCCTTTTCCCGGTTCATTAATGTCATTTGCCTCGCGATGAAATCTTCCTCGTAGCCTGCGTTCATCAATCGTTGCCACTGCCCCCTCACTGCACTAGCCACGAAATGAACACATGACCTGTTCAAAGCATTGGTGAACAGCGATCTAACGACACTCGCCTTTACCGTCTTCGAGTGGCAGCTCTTCTTCGGGAGTACTGGTTTCGGAGCATCTTTTCCATACTCCCAGCATAGGGTTTCACCCACATGAAGTTTTAGATCCAAAAACTGTAACCTATTATTCGTTTGTTTTTCCACTGTGAACTTCAGTTCAGGAGCTGATGACACTATTAGTGACTCTAGCTTCTCCGCAATTCCACTCTGAAAGGTGCATACCACAATGTCGTCGACATATCTCCTGACTATACAGCTACCCGACGGCATTTTTCCTAGTCCTTCTACAACTGCAGAGTCAAGTGAGTTCAAATATATCTCCGCCAAAGCTGGTGCTACCGATGAGCCTATGCACACTCCATCTTTCTGCACAAATTTTTTCCCATCGTATTCTACCACCGTTGAACGAAGATACAAATCCAACACCGTCAGGAAACAGTCTACCGAAATGCCCGAACCTGACTGAAATTTTACGAGATTACGCTCCAGGGCCTCTTTTACACGCTTCAACAGTCTGCTCTTCTCCAACGAATAATAAAGGTCTTTTATGTCCATAGAAAATATCGAACACTTTCTGCCATGATGGACCTCCAGGATGTCAATTAATTCGTTTGAGTTTCTCAGCGAGAGCGAATCTTCAAGCCTTACATACTCTAATCCTTGTTGCAGGAATTTAGACACCACCTTCTGCCAAGTCCCGTTCTCATTTATCACTGTGCGGAAAGGAAGCTCAGGTTTATGGTCTTTTAGAAAAAACCTCAGGCTCAATGTTGAGTGTCTTGAGCTCAATATCCCTTTCGCCGTCCCTTCAAATTCCTCTTCCCTAAGAACCCCACAAATCTCTTTTCTCAACTTTCCAATATTCCCGGTCCATTCCACAAACAGGGAATCCAACGCCTCCTTTGCCTTCTTCCGGAAAACCGGCTTGGGTAAGACTGCAAACTTCCCAGTTTTGTCCGTCTGCAACATCTCTAGCGATTTACAATCTAGCTCGTTTTTTACCGCTTTTACCTCACTGAAGTTCCTTCTTTCCGTCGGGTAATCTCTGCCCATCACATTTTCCATTCGGCCAATTGCTTGATCAACAAAAGCTGCTTTCTCATCCTGAGTGACAACTTTTGCGACTGTCTGTATTGACGAGAACACGTCCAATCTCGACGGTTTTACATTTAAACAAAACTTTGGCCCTCTACTTAAAAATTCCTCAGTCTTCCGGGATACCGCTTCTCTACATGGGTTTACAATGGACGCATGGGGCACATCAAGATAGCTGTTTTCATGGGAAACTCCCTGACACATCTGTCTAACAAGATTTCTATCCACTAGTCTTCCATCCATTCTCCCGCACGCGCTTAATCTCTTAACACTGTCCAAAACATGCTTCCGCTTTACGCACCAAGTCCGGTTGAAGTGGGCCCTTTTGATGTCGTTCCAGTTCTGGAAGTCCCGATGTTGCCTGAAGTCCTTTCCCAGCAGCAAAAACCACAGTCTATCGCTTGCGTTGCGGACGTCCTGGATTCTCTGACTTGCACCGTCCCTGTAGGTCCTCAATATCTTCTTGTTGGACCAAGAACTCGCCGATGCTGACAAATGCTTGAAAAGTTCCGGGTCAACGTACCTCTTCCGTAAGCATATGCCGAAAAACGCCACTTCAGCCTCCAGTTCCGCAAGGCGACGTCCCAACTTGTCCAGGACCGTGACAGCTTCGAGTAGTAGAGCGGTTGGTGGCGATGAAGGAATCGAAGATGCACAAGAAAAGGGGACTAAGCCTGCCTCAGGTACGATTAATGAAAAAACAATTAGGGCGCAGGCGAGCTGGTGTAAGTTTACCATTTTTTTAGACCACCTGAGACTGGGTGGAAGAAACACGACGACGTCTCAAACACAGCTAACCACTTTATTCAGTTTTCCCTCCTTTTATACATCCTGATCCCAAAATCGTCACCATAAAAAACACTCCAAACAAAGGCACCAAGGGGACACGTCTTGACTTCGCAGCCACAACAACGAATCATTTTGAACTAACAAAAGCTACACACACATCAAAACGTCGGCCGAAGGTAACATTCTTTGACCTCGCAGCCACTCTTACAAAAGACAAAGAAAACGATCCACACGGAACCGACTGCAGTTCGAACCCAACAACATAATACATTTTTTTTTTTTTTTTTTTTATTACATAAGTATACAAACGGAACAAGAACATGACAAAGGAGGCACCTCTGGCGAAAAAACACAAAACCTGTTCAATTCATACTCGCAGAAAAGCTTTCGCCCTATCACTAAGAAGCATAGACGCCTGGCTTATGCAATTGCCGATCGACCTAATTTTTACTGTCTCTTTTACAACCCTTTTAACGTCATTTATCTCTTTGCATACTACCGTTGTACCGGACCACTCGGCTGAGCAGTTTCTGCATTCTTGTACATGTGTCGCAATTTCGGAATTAGTCGATTTTATCTTTACGTTTCTCTTGTGCTCTGTCAGACGATCGTTCAAGCATCTTGAGGTCTGCCCTATATACTTAAAACCGCACGTCATCGGTATGTCGTAAACAACGCCAGCTTCACAAGGCACAGACTTTTCCCTGTGGCCCTTTTGGCACCCTTTTTTCTCTCTTTGGAACGGAGTGAGGTTGCCCAACTTAAAGTCCGAGCTGAAAACTACATTAACGCCAAATTTTTTTGCACACGCTTTTATATTGTGTGACACGGTGTGAAAATACGGCATCACTGCTATCCTGTTTCTCGATTTTTCCTCGACTAATTCCGAAATTGCGACACATGTACAAGAATGCAGAAACTGCTCAGCCGAGTGGTCCGGTACAACGGTAGTATGCAAAGAGATAAATGACGTTAAAAGGGTTGTAAAAGAGACAGTAAAAATTAGGTCGATCGGCAATTGCATAAGCCAGGCGTCTATGCTTCTTAGTGATAGGGCGAAAGCTTTTCTGCGAGTATGAATTGAACAGGTTTTGTGTTTTTTCGCCAGAGGTGCCTCCTTTGTCATGTTCTTGTTCCGTTTGTATACTTATGTAAAAAAAAAAAAAAAAAAAAAAAATGTATTATGTTGTTGGGTTAGAACTGCAGTCGGTTCCGTGTGGATCGTTTTCTTTGTCTTTTGTAAGAGTGGCTGCGAGGTCAAAGAATGTTACCTTCGGCCGACGTTTTGATGTGTGTGTAGCTTTTGTTAGTTCAAAATGATTCGTTGTTGTGGCTGCGAAGTCAAGACGTGTCCCCTTGGTGCCTTTGTTTGGAGTGTTTTTTATGGTGACGATTTTGGGATCAGGATGTATAAAAGGAGGGAAAACTGAATAAAGTGGTTAGCTGTGTTTGAGACGTCGTCGTGTTTCTTCCACCCAGTCTCAGGTGGTCTAAAAAAATGAGGAACTACATGTTTTGTTGCAATGCAGTAGAGGGGCAGCAGTGATTACAGTGAATCTGCCTTGCACTGCCACCTGCCACCATTCAAGTCCTGCCACCATTCAATGTCAGAAAGTTTTAAGATGCAGGTACAGCGGCTGACGGGTGCCGGCTTCCCAGAGTCGGTTATTCTGGCAGTGGCGCAGACGTTGCTAAAAAAGATTAAGGGAGGGTCAAGTCAGAAAAAAGAGAGACCCGCAACCAGACCCCAGGTACTCCCCTACATGCACAACTCTCGCACAATTTGAAAAAGGTAGCCGGGCGGTTTGACGTCCCTGTTGTTTTTTCGGCGCCACGAAAGTTGGCGCAACTCTGCCCTAGAATTGCGGATAAGGCTAGGGGCAGGAGCCAATGTGCCGTAAAGCACAGGAACAAGTATGTTGATTGTGTGGTGGGGGTGGTTTACAAGATACCACTAAGCTGCGGAAGAGTGTACATCGGCCAAACTGGCCGATGCATTAATGACAGGGCACGTGAGCATGACTGGACACTCCGGTCGACCGCTGGGGGTCACTTGCCTCTGCATTGTGCTGCCTGTAAATGCCAGCCCCAATTCAATAACATCACCATCATCGGAAGGGGCACAGATAAAACTACCAGGGAATTATTGGAAGCGTATGCAATAACAAAAGAGGGGCAAGATGCATGCGTCAGCCAAACATCGGTTTTTCTTCACAAAAAAGAAATTACCTATCTTAACACGTGCTGAAGCGATAGTGCGGTTTATTTCGTTGGTGTTTTTTCAATAAATGTTTAGTTGTGAGTTCAGCGCTTGTGTCGTCCACACCTTCCTTTCGTCCTGTGTATTTTTTGCGCGCTGTTTATTTTCGTTGTCAAATGTTCCACCTACAATTGTTTTTCCAATCACCTCGCCTCGACAAGGCATGCAACGGAGAACCTATGGGTTCAAAGTTTCCTCCCCATATGGCGTCACCATCTAGAAGCACATCGACAAGCCAAAGGAAACGTTAGGAAAACTCCACCCCAGGTGATCGGGAACATACAAATTTCAACAAAAGCCAGACAGGTGCTGGAACAAGGACCCAAGTTCGCCATCGCCCCCAAGCTCGAGGCAGTAGACAACGTAGCTCTCCTAAGGCAAATAGCCGCCAAGGCTCCCCAAGGAAAAGGCCCTCAAATCATTGATGAGGGCATTCGAGCCTTTGAAAACCTCATACACCAGACCAACGGAAAGATCAGCTTCAAATCCACCATTCACGAATTGCGAAGCAAAGATCTGAAGTTATGCGTCTCAGACAAAGAGGGAGGTTTTGTTGTTCTTGGTTCAGATGCATATGGAGAAAAGGCTCATCAAGCTGTCACCAAGAATTTTATAAATGTTGACGAACAACGAATCAAAGCAGCAAAAAAACACATCTTAGACCTCTTGGAAAAAAATCAACAAACCAGCCTTTGCACCAAGATCAAAGCCGCAAGAAATGACAAACTTATGATGTTTTTCTCCGCCAAGACTCACAAAGAAGGGGTACCTTTCCGGGCCATAGTGTCGGAAAAAACAACGTGGCAAGCATGTGTTTCAAGATATTTGGCCCAACATCTTTCCACAATATACCCTGCGGACCCATTCCACATACCAAACTCTGAGCGAGTGATATCATATCTAGAGGAACAAGGAAACAACATCGTCTCGAGTTTTCCTTGGACGTACAGGACATGTATTACTCCATCCTTCAAGCAAGGCTTCTACAGGTCCTCCGAAGTTCCATCGAAAACCAAGGGCTCGCGCAGTTCCAAAATGCAGCAGGTGTTAGCCTAGACACCTTCTTGGAGGTTTTAAGATATTATTTGTCCGCAACGGTAGTAACCCATCAAAATCGGCCGTATGTCCAGAAGAGTGGTGTGTGCATTGGTTCAAAAGTGGCCCCATACTTGTGCGACATCTTTCTCGCCGCATGTGGGGTAGCCATACAGCAAGTTTTAAAAGACCCGCGAGTTGCCGCTATTTTCAGGTATGTTGACAATTTTCTTATTTTATGCACAACTGGAGTTGATGAATCAGCAGACTGATGCCTCCACACCACCCTCAGGCATTTCCAGACAAGCTGCATGGGGCTCACATTCACCTACGAGCCCCCTGTTGATAATTCCATACGGTTTCTTGATTTGGCCTTGAACTTCCAAACAACATTTGTGTTGGAGATATGAAGTGCGATCGGGGAAAGGGTTCCTTCCCTTTGAATCCGAACATTCCAAAATTGTAAAACAGGGGGTCGCTACTGCAGCTCTTTCAGCCAGCCTCAGGAAGACCTGCCCCCATCAGATGGTAAAAAGTTTTGAAACCGAAATGTCCAGGCTTCAAGAGGCCGGATATCCGAAACCCTTCCTGGCCTCCATTTGTGAAAAGATTTGCCGCAACATAAAAAGAACTTGTCAACGCACCGGCCTTGATCCACCGAAGCAGATCTCCCGTTCACCTTTTGCGGTGGTCCCATACATACATGGGGTAACTCACAGGTTAAAAAAGATCGCAAGCAGACACGGCGTAAATATCATATGCTCGGCACCCAACAAGGCACAAGCAATGTGCAGGAAGGTCAATCTAGCCCAAGTTAACAATACAGGCAGGTGTACCACCAAACCCAAGACAGAATACGTTCCATGCGACAAAGGAGTCGTTTACAACATACCATTGTCATGTGGACGTAGCTACATCGGGCAAACGGGACGTTGTATAAATGACCGAACGCGAGAACATGCCGCAAACTTAAGAAACCTGGCTGCACCTGGACATCTAGCAGCTCATTGTAGAGAATGCATGTGTGAGGCTAAGCTCGAAACGGTAAGCATCCTAGCTCACCACAAAGACCGGTTCGCCCGAGAACTACTTGAGGCCTTAGCCATAGAACAACAAAAAGACAACTGCGTCAGTTCACCATCCATTGCCCTACAAACAAGTGAAAAGAAGTTCCTGCGAGACGAAAATGCCCATGAAGATAGAGGAAGATCAAGAAAAAACAAAAAGAAGAAGACGTGAAAAGGACAGCCACCAGACCAGTAGAAGAAGAAGCCGAGGGTTAATAAATAGTTGGTAGTCCAGCGATCGGATGCCTCTTCTCCTTTCTCTCCTCACCCTTTTCTGTAAGTTCAGCTGGTTTCCAGAATCTAAGTATGTACAACCAGCTAGCTCAGCTCCTTCCCATTGCAAGGGCTGCGCCCTGGTTGAGGCCGAGGAGTGCCCTGCAGTTAGGTTAGGTTAGGTTACTCGTTTAAATAGCGGGTGTTATTTGGGGGGTGGCTTTAAGAGCCGTTGTTGTAGTCGCCGTTCAAAAAGACCGTGAGATGATTTTACTTAGGTATGCCTCTTTTCCCAGGTCATCGGTACTTGGGCCCCGGGTACCCACTGGACAACGGTGAACCAGTGGACAAAGACGACTGGATAGCCTGGCGTC